AAATGCATATAAAGTAAGGAAGCAGGAAATAGAGATTTAAAGTAACAGTTCAGCAAAAAATCAGAAATACATATTTTTCCTTTTTACCTGTAGTGTTGTTTTGGTGTGTGTTGCGGAGTGTTGCAGATATCGGCTGTAGTGATTTCTGCCTTCTCTTCAGTATAATAAAACTAGATGGCGCTCAGCTTGTGGTGCTCAAAGCATTGAAAAAAAAAACATTTAAAAAACTCAACAGTAATGTCTCTCCAGAAATCATGACCCACTTGATATGAACACGAGTAGAACGCAGTGCAGGACGCAGACTGAGGTTTATTGCCACAAAAGATAATGATATGGGAACGGTGGTGAGGGATGGAAGTCCATGGGGAGGAATGAGGTGGCTGAGAGGAAGCTGGGGGGGAAGGGAGGAGTGGAGAGCAGGTGAAGCTGGCAGGTAGGTAACTGGTGATCCTGGGGCGCAGGAAAAACTCAGTTTAATAGCAGGAAAACATGAGGAAGAGAAATGCCAAGAATAAACTTAGTTGGCCTTGATGTGTAGCTACCACAAAAGATTAAACAATAATCTGGCGGTGAGTGGTTGGAGAGCTGGAATAAAAAATGCTGCAGGTGGATGAACTGATGAGAGGCAGGTGCGCATGATGAGCTGATAGCAGGCAGGTGAGTGTGATAAACAGAGCCAGGTACCAGAGAAATCAGGGAGGGAGACCACACTGGGTCTGCACCATCACAGCATCAGCACATACCTGCAGTGGGCCAAGTAGGTGGAGTCTGCACACCATTTGACAGTTACTGTAGCTGGCAAATACGGCGCTAAAATTGAGCAGCGAGAGGGGCATTTACATCACCGTCAACCATACAAACCCAAACAAGTCAAGGGAGACTGATGAGACAGAACTGATGAACCCTATTGTCAACTTTACTGTCCATGTCAGCAATTATCTGCCAACTAGGAAAGCTGGTTGTTGCCACTCGTTGACAGATTGCACTCCATTTAAAGAGCTGTCGAGTTAAGTGGTGCAATGACGCACCGAAATGGACCCACAGACAAAACAAAACACAGCGAGGGGAAGGTGAAGGGAATGAGAGGCTTGTGCTTGTGACAGCGCGAGCTGTGAACATTAACGGCGTCCTCCTCGGCTGAGCTGTAATGTCGGCTAGCTAAGTGATCCTAAGTGAGCTAGCAGTAGATGCACACTTGTGTCTGTGTGGTGATTCAGTTGGTAGGTGTAGTTCGGTAAAAAGAAAATAGTTCCTACATGAAACTACTCACAACAAGGTCTGTGGATTGTCTTGAGTAACAGGGTCACAATTTAGAGACACTGCTGTTGAATTTTGAGTTTTGAGTACCACATGCTGAGTGTCGTCTTTTTCCATTATATTCGAGAGAGGGTAGACATCTCTACGGCATCTTACACCAAGACAATCTAGACTGAAAAACAGCACTAAAGGTAAAAGGAAAAATATACATTTGATTATGGGGTGAACTGCCCCTTTAAGACTTTTACTGCTGAACCACTATTTAAACCTACATGTGTTAGCATGTCGTCAGGTAATTATATTGCGCCTTACATCACTCCGTCCTGTCAGCCCATTACAAAGGCTTCAAGTGTATATGCAGTTAAATGGCAATACTCGTAATGGAAAAAAGGTAAGTTATAGTTTGACCTATGCAGCCAATTAAACTAAACGCAGAGTACAAAATGTTACGGACATCTACTCTTTTGATCAAATCTCTTGTTGATTTCATATGTCCACTTTTACTTTCACTCAAGAAGGGGAAGTGTAGATGGTATGAATATGGGGTTTATTTCTTTTAGCCTTCAAATAATAAATATTCTCTAACTTAATTATATCATTTTAACTAAATAAAACAATTTAATTATATAGCTTCTTCTAGAAACAGTGCAGCTCAGAATACCTCACATGATGAAAGAGAAAAGCGCAGATCATTTAGACAACAAAATATTTAAATACATTTAAACTGAGAAGTGAAGCAATGAATAAACTATTCAACGTCATAAAATAAACATAATTATGACTTCAAAAGAACAGTTAAAATGGGAAAATAAAATAAATAACAGTAACAACGCCAATTATTGTCACCATAACTACTTTCACCATCTTCATCTTAATTTTTTCTAATGTGTTATATATATATATATATATATATATATTATTTTAAGCCAAAAGGAAATACATATTAACAAAACGATCTCAAAGCAAAGCCGGTTTCCATCGCAGTGTTAATTTATGATTTTAATTGTAACCTGACTTCCAGCACACCCGAAGCATTCTCAGATTAATTGCTGTCCTAACAATTAAGACCAGGGCTTATTCTACATTACATAAGAGGAAATATGTTGTTTGTTTGTTTTTTTTCTTTTACACATATAGGTGTGAGCTATTTATAGGCCTGGTTTGAAGGAGGGAATGCTGAAAGTGTCCCAGATTCAGCTGAGTCATGCAGTTGCTGCTCAGATTCTAATCGGAGATTGTGCACAAGTAGTTCTGGAGGTTGCGAAGATGCTTTTGTTGCTGTTTTCGTACGTGTCGCTTAGTAAAGAGGTCACATTTCTTTTTCCCACAGTGTAATGAAAGGGAACAAACAGGTACCCATCAGAGTCATCACCAGGAGAGGGAGGGAGAGGGGAGAGGAGAGGTAGAGGAGAGGAGGGGAAAAGAGAAGGAGATGAGGGAGATTACACAAAGATGGAAACACAAATCGTCACGCTTCTTTCCACATTTATTTTTTATTGTGACAGAACTGGGAGAACCTTATCCACTGTCCCTGTTTTCGTGAATTCTCATACCATCCACCTTCTACTTGTTTGCTGTCCCTCATATCAGGAGCCAAGGATGGCCAATTCATCTTCTGGAAGCAGATTTGTGGACATCAGATTTCAGATTTTGTGCAGCTACAAAAACTCGCCTTGCAGTTTTGCACCATTCTTCATACTCAAGGATGAGGTTGTTTGTGTTGTGTGCCCATCACGAGTGCCTCGATTGTGTGCTAAGAGAGCACTGAGTAAATGAGCTTAAAAAGAGAGAGGGAGTGGAGAGAGAGAGAGCTCAGCTAACAGCACACAGGAGGCATCGGCTCGGTTTGTGTACAGGCACACTCTGACGTTCAAAGGAAAAGAGTCCGCCTTCAGTTTCCCTGAATTAATTCAGCTTTGCGGCTCATTTTCTCCAGTGCTTGGGTGTGTTGACAAGGAGCTAGTGCTTTTTCTGCTGCTCTGATAAAGAGGCACGGCTTTATCTAGGCACAACCTCTACCTCTTCCTCTGTAAATAGGTCTTTCTGGGCGCTCCTCGGAGCCAAGTCTAGACCTAGCAGTGCTCAAACAGTACAGAAACCCACTTGGATAGATTTGACAGCATGGCCTGTATAAAAGGGGATAAGACAGTGACCCAGTTCCCCCCCACGGAGGAGCATCGGATACTCTGTCAGTCAGTAATTAGGTCCTACTACCGTGGGAGGTGTTGCTGTCCCAAATGAATGGAGGTAATTGGATGGGGTGGCCGGTATTTTTAACAGTCTTTGTCTGGATACTGTGGTGTAAGAGCTGACTTTGGTATGATGCTCGGGAGGGAAGAGTAAAGAAGGAGGAGGAGTTGTGGGATCTCGTAGTGAATCATAATTAGTCCACTTCAATCCTTCTTACGTCCTATTACCATCTTATCTCCCCCATATGTTTCATCGCCTCCTCCTTTATTAGTCTTTCTCTGTCTCTTATCTGTCTCCTGCTCATTCTCTCCCTTTCTCACTCAATCACTCCCTCCTTCCATCATCTCTCTCCTCAGTCAGGGCAAATCTGACAGCAGCTTCTCTTCCTGATAACAAATGATGAGCATTGGTCCTTGTGGATGACTGACGGGTCACGGAGACCCGACTTGGCCTTTTACCTGATCGTTAACGCCAGAGCAACAGGGGTACAGGCGGCCAATTACGGAGGAGGTTCAATCAATAGCCCTTCACTTTGCTTCCCTCTGTTGGCACCGCTTCTCCTTGCCCTGACTGCCTTACTGACTGGCTGACTACCCATCTGGGAATGTGTGAGGTGATTGCAAGCAGCTTGAAAGCCTGCATAATTACGCTCTGCCTGCAGCTGTACCCAGATAACACCAGTGACGGACTCAGTGAGCAGCCCTGCATAGGTGGGTGCTAAAGTCTACCACTCCCTTTGTAGACCGAGGCAGTCTTTCTACCCAAAATCTATCTTAATTATATATTACCTCACTTGTTTTATCTAGGCTTTTTTTTTCTCCTGCAAGTAGCCTCTGTTGTGCTGTAAAAACGCTTGATATGACACGAGCATCTGGAAGTACATAATTGAATTTGCCTCTTTTCTGTCATGCTGTATGACTGCGTGAGATGAAGAAGAGACAGGACTTGAAGTGCGGGTCGCCTCTTCTCTTCTCCTGTACGAGTGCATTAGAGACTTCTGCTGACTTGAATCAATGCTGCCCCCCCTTGTCCTATCATCAAAGTAAGATGTAAATGAATTAAAGCCGTCTGCTAATAAGTAGGGGCTTGATGAGGCGCTTTGTTTCAATATTCCGTGTTAGGCTTAAAATATTTGGCGCTGCTCCTGCAGGAGAGGATCGGGTCTTCGTCATCCCTTTACATTCTAGTCATTCTTGGCAGAGCAGGACTGTGATTTTTGGGCTCTCGGTGCTTGTTCCTTGCCTCTGATGGTGGTGTCCTTTCTGCACTGGCAAGATCAGAGTGCCTCTGCAATTCTAATCAGTGCAGTGGGGGAAGCGAGAGGGGGAGAGGTGGGGTAAGGTTAGGGAGAGACAGACAGAGGAGAGCGAGGATGTGTGCATTTGTGTGAGGGGAAAAAAGGGGTGCAAGATAGAAGGGGAAAAGGGGTAGAGAGACAGACGACGAAGAGAGAGGAAGAGTGTGTGTGTTTTTGCATCTGTCTGTGTGTTTGAGGACGAGAGGCAGGGAGCGAGACAGAGTGAGGGAGAGAGCGGCAGAGGGAGGGGAATTGATATAGTGGGAGAGTGAGGGAGAGAGAGGTGGTTACGTGGAGCAGCACCCCACTTCATCAGGCAGCATACGGCAGCCCTGCAGTGCGATCACACAATATGGGAATGGGGCTATGAGATCGAGAGCAAGAGAAAGAAAGCAGAGAGAGACGAGAGCGAGGAGGGGGGAGTTAAAAAGAAGAGCTTGAGGGATTTGCTTGGATGAGAAGGGGGGATGATCTGAGTCTGTTGCCTGTCGTGGATGTGGGAAGGACGTGGCAGCAGTGGCTGAGGTTGAGGCAGATCTGTGGTCTCCTGTGTAAGAAGTAGCCGGCGTCAGGACGTTATGCCCTGTGAGCAGTGAGGGGTAGCGCGTGTGAGCCAGGAGCAGCTGCTGTGACTGCATCTGCGCTGCCTGCATGTCTCAGACAGGCAGGGGATGCAGCAAACCTCTGCCCTGAGCACAGAGGCTGCTAGCTGTACCCAGCGAGGAGAAGAACCAGGTGGGCTGGGGCGGGAGTGGGGGCGCCTGCCTCAGGAAGGAGCTAGCTTAACCTGCACTGTGGTCCCGCAGTGATCCTAGCTTCAGAGTCAAGAGGCTCACCTGCCGTCTGTTGGATCTGAACCTGGATTTACTGCTTTGAGAGATGAGAAGCACGTTCTCTGGCGGAGCCGCACAGCCAGCAGCCTGCTGAAGAGTGTGAATGCTGGGCAGCACTGGCACCACCAAGGACACCGAGCCTTTTTCCACTGGCAGACAGCTTACCAGGAGCTTTATCAAGGAATCTATATTTGGATTTGATTATGAATTGAGGAGTTTGGAATCAGCACACTGTGGAAATCCTAAGCCAACGTTTCTTTTTTTGATGTAGGATTTACAATATGTCTACCTGACCATACTCCTTGTGGCTCTGGAGTAAAGATGAAAAATGATTTAAACAAACGTGTATTCCTTGATCAAAAATAACATGAGTACCTCAACAGTACTTTAGAATGCTGCTACCTTCATTGTATGAGCCGTGTCCTAGCTCTCAAAGAGATTGACCAATGAAGCCATGGGACTCAGCCAGAGCTTTACAAGTATGTGGTGAAAACCGTGACCAATTTATTTTGGGGGAAATTAATATTTCTGTGTTAGACCCTGATGGAGTAATTTCTGATTTTAGGAAGAATGACGGGGATAGTTTTAGCAGAGTAAATAATGTGTGATGTGTGAAAATGTTTGATTTAGTGATTTCCATTTTCCCTCAGCTTGAAAATTATTTAGCCTCCTGATTTGTAGTGTTCAAATTTGTTGTTTTTGGACTAGCTAGGCACTTGTTCATACACTCGCTCATCTGCTCACTAAAGGAATGTTTAGTGAACCCTGTTTGTTGGAAGATGCCGTAGTGGCTCAGTCCAACATAACTCACTATACCAAGCTTCAGATGGGCTTCCTTCCCTGCACTACCTCCACCCTCGCCTGACATTTTTAGTCAGTCACACTAACACCAGTGGGTGTATATTAGCCTAGTCAGTCCCCTGCAGGGCTTGAGCTGGGCCTGCAGCACTTCCTACCCTCCTCCTGTGTTTGAGTTAGCTGGGCCCCCAACCGTACCTTGGGAGCCCCTCACCCCCGGCCTGGACCCTGTCTCCCCCCCACCCCGCCTGGTGCTGCTGCACTCGGCTCTGCCTCTGCTGGCCGAGGATGATGTGGCAATGCCATGTGTCGTCCTCTGAGTGCCGCTGCTACCGGCTGAACGGCTTCTCCCTGCTGAAGCGCTTCCCTCTCTCGGCAGATGGGGCCTGTGGTAAAGCCCTGGACCAGCCGGTCGGAGAGTGGCTGGAGCACGTGGGGCTGCCGCAGTACGAGAGCAAGTTCCTGCTCAATGGCTTCGACGACCTACGATTCATGGTGAGTCACCTGCAGCACGTCATCTCAGGGGTCGGTTCCACTTTACATCACTCTGCCTCTCCCTGTGTCAACCTAGCTGCATTTGTCTTTTTATGTCACCACTCTGCTCTCTCACCCTCTGCCTGTCTGTCAGTAGCTCCACTCCCCCCCCCCACCTTTCTCTTTCCCACTCACCCCTGCACCTTCTCTCATCCTTCCCCCTTTCCCCTCTCCCCTTTTATAACTCCTCTGCACCTCCTGTGCGATGCATGACCCTGCTAAGATTTATGGCCCCACACTGAATCCCTTTAAAGAATGTGGGCTGTCACCAGTGGAAAGACAAATGACAACCAGAACCCATTAACTTTTTCCCAGCTTTCCCAATCATGTTATCTCATTTACTGCACAATTCTAAATCCACCTCCTCCCCTCTATATTGAATCTTCTGATTTACAGTCACTGGACTTGACCTCTGTGTAGATACACTCAGATGACGTGAACAAACAGTCCTCACTCTAAACACACCGTAGCTGCATGGTTGCTTGCCAAATCTCACTAAATCCACCACCTATTATGCTTGTGGTGCTTATGAGTCTTGCAATAACTGCACAATGTATGATTAGACTGCAGCAGCATGCTAGTGTTGTATTTATAGTCTATACACTCCTGGTTTTTAGAGTGTAGTCACACATTTTTGCATGCAGACATTTACTTTGGTTAAAAGTTATTATGTCACTAGTAAATGAATTATCAAAAGACACATGATTTGTCCTCCGTGATGATTTAAAAACATGATCAGACAGTTTCTGGAAAACATTGACACATTTTGGATGAATGTTTTGCATTTTTAAAACACCTCCATCAAATTACATATTGATAGATTCATTCAGCTGCAGCTCAAAAGACGTCCACATTCTGACTGAAAGCATTATCATGTTTCCCGTAGAGAACATCACAAGGAAACTTGATATTGCATTTGGTGATGATTGTAGAAAACACCATTACGTTTCCAATCCCCTGGTCATGTTACTCTGAAAAAACACGGCCATACACTGTAAATAACCAGGCCCAAAGGGTAAATGCGGACATTTCGCAGACCACAGAGCTGCATTAGCACTATAGGCTATATGTTACATCAGTTTGTCACAGCTGAGCTCACTTAAGTGAGACCAGCGAGCTCAGAGGCAAAGTGGTTGTGTTCTTCTTTCCGATAAGGCATGAGATCACAACATAATGGGAGTCCTTATGAACACTTGATCACTCCTACTATGAGGTGCCATGGAGATCTGAGCTTTAGGGTCAGATTTGTTCATGAAGTGACAACAAGCCTAAAGGAGCAGTATATGTAGTAATATAATATAATTATAGTAAAAGGAATACAGTAGTGGTGTGCAATATGGATTGTTGGGGCCAGCTTTTTGCCTTTATATACAGTATACTATATATATATCGATATTGTGTAATATATTTGAAACAATAAGTAACAAAACATTTTAGTACAGAAACACCAAAGATATGTTTGAGGTTATTCAGAAACTGGAAAACTGGGAAATAGATTGGTATTATTTCAATATCGTGATATGAGACAAGTAGTGATGCGTGAATAAAGATTTTTTAAAACCTGCATCATCCTGGCCAATCAAGAGAGTGAATCCGCCCCAGTGAACCTGCAAACACGCATTAATCAACCACCTGGACCTGGGCCGCAAATTGTCTGGTAATGACCATTGCTAAAAACAACCTACTTGCTGTTGGCTATAATGTATGTCATTTCCAGTAAATATCACAAAAAAACAAGTGTTACACACGTAGGGAAGACAGCAAGTCCTCACCCATCTTTTGCGTAGTTTCATCCTAAATTTGATCTCGAGCGCACAGCTGATATCCTACGTGGTATGTTTAATGACGTAACAGAAGTGCATATTTAGCAATTCAGTGTGGACAGAGAGACGTTTGCTCTTAGGACATGGTGGTAGGCCTATATATTCTTACCAGACAGATTTAAATATGTTGTACTTTAACAAAATTTCCTGGCCAAGAATTGGATAACAGAAACACTGAGCGCAGTACGGCTGATGATAAAGCTGCTTGCTGTGTGTGTTCGAGAGACAGAGAGAGAAATGGAGAAAGGGTGGAAGGTGGACTTTTGCACAATTACTCTGAACGCTGCTTTGTCACTTAATGAGTTATGGGTTGACCCGCGCATCACTAGAGACTAGATATCATCTCTGATTTGGATATTGTTCTGTCATATGTGTTGTCTTTTCCTGGTTTTAAAGGCTGCATTACAGTAAAGTGGTGTCATTTTCTAAACCTACCAGACTGTTCTAGCCGTTTTGTTATTTGCCCACATTACTGTTGATTAATTACCAAAAATCTTAATGTGTAATAGTCAACCTGACAATATCGTGGCAATATCGATATTGAGGTGTTTGGTCAGAAATATTGTGATGTGCGATTTCCTCCATTTGGCCTGGCCCTAGCGACTAGTTCTTTTTTCAACTGTAAAATGTCCTGCTCAGTACATTTCATAGTCAGAGTCTTGTAAAGACTAATTTAAAGGACCCGTTTTTCTTACGTGGTGACAGGAAATGAGGGGACATGGATAGATAGGAAGTGGTGTGCAGCAGTGGAATTGAGCTGATGATGTTGTGTATGTATCTTAACCACTAGACCATCTCAATGCCTGAGGATCCTTTTAATTTTTTTATTGATATCAGTATCAGCCTCAAAAATCATTTGGGCTTTAGTATGGATAAAATCCTTTATCCCTTTACGTGTAATATTATTGTATGTAATAATATTACATACCACGATAAAGTATACTCTCTGGCCTTTCAATTTAAGAAATAGATAATGTTGAAATGCTCACTAATCAAGTAAATTGAATACCTGACAAATAAAGGTACTTATTTAAATTGATGCCATAAATCAGTCCTGCTTATTGATTTGCAGCATCACCCACAATAGCCTAATGCAACCAGAGATATTAAAGAAACAGCTAGTGGAGTATTAAACGTATTGCAAAATCTTTACTGGCTGACACAAATTCTTTTATTGTCCCACTGTGGCCGACACTAATGTACAGATATCTAGAAAGAAAACAAAGCAGCCTTATTGTCTTATTGGTTTGGAAGATACCACATTGATCAAGATTTAATGTGATGAGGACGATGGGTCATTAAGCATTCTGATATTCATTTTCATGCCACGACTAATGTGTCTGCTGGACTTGATGCATCAAGGAGATAAATCATTAATTTCACAAGGCAAATTACCCATGGATATTTACAAGGATGTGGAAGTTGCAAACAAGGGAAAGGTCAGAGTAGTCAGGCAGACATTGTGAATGTTTAATATTGTGCCCTTTTAGATTCTGCCAGACTTGCTTCAGATGTGATCAATCTAACTGGACTTGAACATCAGGATTTGTTTGTGGGATTCGTTGTCACTCACATAATTGCTGTTTTTAAAAAGCATTACGCTTAGTTGCTCTGATGTCCAAACTAATGTGGCAAAGATGCAATTTGTCTAGTAGGAAACATCTTAGAAGTTACCCATCATGCATTTACATTGCATCTTCCCTGCATCAATATTGCATCAGATTCTGCAGCCCCCTCTTTCTTGAATGTTATAATGTTGAACTAAGCATGCATATTCTAACACATAAATTAAGTCCTCTTTCTTTGCCATATTATCGTTACGCCGGCTGACTCTTGAAAAAAGTAACAAAATTTGATTTTTCTAAACAATTCCCCCGTGGTGCAGAGAAATAGAGCAATTCTAATTCACTGTTGCATTAACTGAGTGCATTTAGTGAGATGAAGGACTTCTACCATGGCTACATCTGCAAGTCGTATCAGATTAGATCAGACTACCATTGCTCATGAGCTATGTAAGAACTGAACCATACATTCTCGTCACATGTTTCAAATGCAGCATGAAATAATAAGTTTGCAGAGTCTCCCGAGGCATCATCCAACTTCAAACTGTGTTAATAAAAGTGGAGGATCTATTTTGGTCCTCCCTTACATCAGACCCCGCTTCATTTTGACCTTTATTCTAGCGATCAGTGAGTAATCTCCAAACTGCACCCTGATACAGGCCTGTGAATACTGCTGCATTGTGCTCTGAAACCAATCCAGTAAGAGCAGATTGAGTAAAGACTACAGAACATTTTAACATTCTTGGCCAGGAAGAATCAATCTGCAGCAGTCCACGGGGAAAAACGCTTAGCTCCACATTTTCAAGGTTCTCCTTGTATCTTTATTCCTGCCTATAAACCGGAATAAGATGACAAAGCAGCTGGAGCTGCAAATATGGACAGCTACATGAAACAGACAAGAATCTGCTTGTCAGTCAAGATTTTGGGACGAGAACGATTATTGTTCATTGTTTCTGTTCCCAAATTAAATAATTGTTACAAACTGCAGTGAAACGTTCTCGTTTCCTCTCGGACTGTTTGGTTTCCCTCAGTGAAACACTGAGATCCTGTAGATGCTGCTGCAGTTATGAAGGCTTTGTTCCCTCTGAGTCGCACCGGATCAGATTGATTACTCTTGGCATGCACAATTTATTTGACTTCATTGTCCTCCCACTCTGCTGTTACTGCTTATGTCAGAGATGTGCATACTCTGTGTGTTTGTGTGTGTGTGTGTGTGTGTGTGTGTTATGAGAAAGTGTGTGTTTGCACAGCTGCAATGTTGCCCTGTAGTTACAGTGTAGAAAGCATCATGATACAGTACTTTTATCAGCCTTTGTTCATGTAAAGCTATTTGTCACATGTCAGTATGATGTCTTTCATGTGTAAATACTGTATCCCCGTGTGTGTATGCAGACATTTAAATTACTGCACTGATATACAGTATCATCAACTGATTTAATTTCATGGATTGTATCATTGTATGTCCATACTGTGTATTGTCTCTCTGTGCATGTGTTTGTTTGTACGTGTTTATTTGTTTACGTGCATGTGTGTGTATGTATGAGTGTGGCCGTGTGCGTGCGCCTGTGTGTGAATGTGTTTACTTGTGTGTGTCTCTTGGGTTTGTGCACATGTAGGGAAGTAACGTGATGGAGGACCAGGATCTCAGAGACATCGGGATCACTGACCCAGGACACAGAAAGAAAATCCTCCATGCGGCACGCAGCTTGCCTAAGGTACTTAACATCATAACTTAACCTCGGCACTGAGCGAGACAGTGACTGACAGTGTCTGAGAAAAAAGGTCACAATGTCAGTATGTTTATAAAAATAGAAGATAAGCAAAAAAAAGATAATATGGTAATAAGAAAATGGATGAATACAGTAGATTGTCAGAGCTGGAGTAACATAATTTCAATTAAACATTAAATGGAAAAACTCTTGTGTTATTTTGACAGCTGTTTTAGATTTAGTCTTAGTCTTGAGACAAAAATGCTGATTAGTTTTAGTCAAATTTTAGTCATTTTTATCCTCCATAGTTTTAGTTGACGAAAAAATTCAAAACATTTTAGTCGATGAAAATTTTTAGTCTTTTATCTTTAAACTAATCTAGTGAGGCTAATTCATGTTTCAGAAATTAGAATCAAGGTGACAGGTTGTGCAAGAATTGCATTTGTGACAACAGCAAATAATTTCTACACACTTACAAACCTGCATTTCTCCAGCAGTTTTTCACGGGTTTAGGGGGTGATTTACGAGCACACACTTACTGATCATCATCTGAAAAACTCAACATCTCTCTATTTATGGTCTCAAAAACGTTGACATAACAAATTACTAATTTAAAACAACTAGGATTTGTACTCTGGTTCATTGTAAACGCTAACTTATTGATCTCACTGTCAAGAAGCAGAAAAATAACTAAAGCCTGAATTCATTCTCAATCTGCAACATGTTAGTCTAGAGGTTTAAACTCGTGTCCTCTCATAGAGTCTGTGATTAAAACTAAACTTGCGTCTCTGTCGGAGAAAACTCTGCTGAGTTCAGACTGTTTACTGACAGCACAGCTACACTCACAGGTAACCCGTCCTCCTACCTGCCTGTCAAATAGCATCAACCTCCCCAAGTCCGGACTGAGTCCTGTGGGGATCAGCTGTGTTTTAGTTTTTATTATCAGGCTCTATTTTTAGCTTGTCATTATCTCGTTTTTGTCATGGATATAAGGTCGTTGCAGAAACATTTTCATGATATTTTTCATCAATGAAATTAACACTGTTTTGACCACAGATAGCGTGCTAGATTTACTGGCAAACAAATCAAAAGTACATTGAAATGATAAAAAAAATCACATATAACTATGTATTGCTTATTAACTATGACCACAAAAAATGTTTCAGTTTGTACTGGAGAATGGAATAATAAGGATTGGTCTAATTATACCATATAATAAAGGCTGCACATGGGTTGTGAGTCAAAAAAGTGTGGCAATGTAAGAAAAAACATTATGATTTATTCAAATAAAAAATGATGTTTTCAAGTGTGCAACTCCAAATCGGGATCATTAAAGTCAGCAGCATTCATCCTATAGGGACTTTGACTATCTGAAGTATGAGGACCCTCCTCTAGTGAAGTCAGGTCATCATCAGCGAGATTCAGCTCACCTGGGTTGGCTGCAGGAGCATATAAGATGGTGGCAGTCAGCCAGTCTCTCTCCCCTGGCCTCCACCCTGCTTGGTGTTGTTACATTAAGCTTATCACCACGCTCATGTGTCACACTAGAGGCCAGTGCTAACATGCTGCATGTCACTCCCGTCACGCCTCTTTTGATTCTGCGATGCTGACATGGAGTCTATAATCACACATTAGAGCGGAATGATGCTGCTGTCGTTTGGCTCTGTGTATAAATGCAAAGGAGGCATAAAGAAGGGACCTTGTAGCGGCTCCATGGTGTGTTCTCTGTGTAAAAAATGCTATATACATATTGTCCTGTAGCCAGCACAGGTGAGCTGAATCTTCCTGATGACCTGACTCCACCCACCAGGCTCCTGGAGGGAGAGGGTTGTCACAGTAAAAAATTTCACAGCAATCCATCTGATCTTTGTCAAAATATTTTACTCAAGACCCAAAAGCTTGTGGTGCTAGATGAAAATTCATGTGATCACCAAGGTCAGCAGCATTTGTCCTCTGGGGAACAGACCTCTCACAGACTGACATTGCTGTCCCTTGAACCACACGGCTAGGAGGGCTAAAAACAGCAGCAGCAGTTTCCAGCTTTAGTAAGGTAGAATTATAACCACAACTAGAAGACAAGCCTACACAGTGTACATTTCTATTTTAAGTTTTATGCTAAAAGTTACAGTACTTGCTCCCTCACGTGTCTCTCCCTTCACTGTAGGTAAAAGCACTGGGCTGTGATGGCAGCACATCTCTTGTCTCCTGGCTGGATGGCCTCGGCCTGCATGAATATCTGCCCAACTTTCTTTCAAGTGGCTACCGCACACTGGAGTGTGTCAAGAACCTGTGGGAGCTGGAGATTGTCAATGTAAGAAGCCATCTTTTACATTTATTCAGCATAGTTCTGATGTTGGCCTCTTATAGAAGATGGGTGAGCAGGAAATTGGTCGGTGTTTTAGGCTCTGACAAAGAGAGAGTTGATGGACTCAGAATAATCACAAGACTGATTTATGGATCATGTTCGAGGTAAAGAAGCACTTTAAAATTCAATGCTGAAATAACAGAGAAGTGCTCGATGATTGAAGCATTTCCATAAAACTATAGCAGAAATGTTTTCAATATCACCGAGTAATTAGTAGATAGCTAACTGATAAAATGTAAATGAAGAAGCAATATGGTGACTGATGACAGGGAAGTATCTAATTTGGTTTAATCTTTATGGAAATCGTGTAACATTCTGTGATAATTTGTAATTACAAAGGGGGCCTAATTTCTTTTAGGATGAGACGTGTGGAGGTTGTAGAGAGGCGCATGTATCAATTTGGTTTGAACATGTGCAGGTGTCGATTTGTCTTTGTTGGTGCGTACGTGTGTGTGTTTAGACTACAGCAGTGGTTTACCATGGGTTCCTGAGATAAATCTGAGGATTTGCAAGGTGATTAACGGGATGAGAAAGAAGAAAAAAAAACCTATCCTGTGCTACAAAATTACATTTTCCTGACTTTTCTTTTTAGTCTTTAATTTATTGTGAAATATTCGATTGTTTTTCTTTGTCTGGCTCCTAAAAATGATTGATGTGAACCAATCTGAGAAGGAACAATCTGTTTTTGGCTGAACTTGCACACCTTGTAAAGAGGGATTGCAAACAAGGGTAAACCACAAATCACAAATTTCATAGGACAATATATAGATTCTTTGAATGATACAATATTTGCTGATAACACAAAGTCTGCTATGATACAATATCGATTTGATTTAATTCAAGGGCCTATGATCGATATGAGACAATATCAGTTAATAGCTGCATTTCTTTTTCTTTGCAGCTCACCATTATTTGCCTGGCGCTAGGCCACGAGCACTGTTTGAATGTTAGTAAGTATGGGTACATTTGGACCAAAGTGGTGACACAGTCGTTCCATATGAATTTCAAAATAAAGGCGTATCTTATAGATGACGATATGTATCAATGTTTTCACTGTATATCTGTGATGTTGGATCATTGAGCACTGAACTGATATATCGTTCCAGATAGATGTATCATTGCTGACTAGTTGCAAGTAGCCATTGTTGTGTTTGTATGAGTCAAGAGCCAGAATAGGTTGTAAGCACAAAGTTACAGGAACTTAACCCACGTGTCTTTGATGTTTTGGTGATGCTGCATTTTGGGATTATTTGCATTGTACATATTAAAGTATTTGTTGACTGCACATCTCGTGAGGTTTCAATAGAAAGAAAGTTTTTAGTTTGGTACAGTATTAATAACCAACTACAAAATGTACTCCCTGCAGAAAATGTGTTGAAAATCTTGATGCCCAAATGCACCGCAGAACACTTAGGAGTCGAACCCTGAACCTGCAGTTCTCATGTGTGGACATTTGGTCTAACCACTCTGCCAATGAGTTACACAGCAAGGTTGAAATAATAATTAAGTTAAGAAGGAGATCTCATAACTGTCCCAAAAATCTTAAAGAAGTATTTCACTGTTGGAAAGATGGTCTTTTCATAAAAATGGGCTGTCAATACAGTAGAAACACACAAGCACTTTTGAAATTGGTGGTTCATGACAAGAGAAAACTGTGACAAAGGGCTGTAGCATTTGCTTTTGCTCAGTAGGTAGAAAACCTACAGCTACCAGTATGCATTGTGCTGTGTCAGACCTTGTCCGTTTTGACACAGGAAACAATATGGCGGCCGGCTGGTAACAAACAATCTCATATTATTGTTAGCAAAAAGTAAGCTAAAAAATGTTTTTGAAAAAATTGAGCCAAGACTAGGGAACGCAGTAACAGAATCTTGGTTCATATTTGATCAGTTTGCTTAGTTTCACCATTTTACTGTACAGGAAATAGTATGGGGTCCACTTCCTGTTTCATTCTCGGAATACAGCCAAACAGTGCACCAAAATATGATAATAGTAATATGATAATAATGATAAAACTAATAAAGTTACGAAGTGCTTTACAATAAAAACAATAATAAATCTAAAAAATGTACAAGATAGAAAACAGTAGAAATAGTATAAAAGTAAAAATACCATCAGATAAGAAAAAGCCAGATGATTAAAGTGAGTTTTAAGAAGAGATTTAAAAGAGGTCACTGAGTTTGTCTGCCTTAAACCCTCAGGCAGGGATGTTTCTGAAGTGATTTTCAGCAGGAAATATGCAATACAGTAACAGAAACTTGGTTTATGGAGTTTGATTTCAGTTTGGTCTAAATTTGAGAGAGCGAGATGGAGAAATGGGCAGGTCTTTATCTTCTGCTGTCCATAGTGGCGGGGTGAGAAAATGTGGAAGTACTATCTATAGTTTGAGCCCGAGAGCCAGCGAACAGATTTGAGCAGGGAGATCTGGGCGCTTGTAAGATGGAGGGAAGTTTACCACAGTCCATTTTAACATATTACCCACACAGTAATGGTACAAAACTGGTTGACAATTGACACAGTATCTCCTTAATAGTAATACACCAAACAGAAACTGCTGCAGCTGTAACCAGTCATCCCATCAAAGTTAACTGAGGGTTTGAAATGGATTTTGTAATTTTTTTTCCCAGATAATATTTGACTTATCATAATGAGTGATAATGAATGTGCAGTGGAAGCTGTGTAACATTGAAGTTGTGTATCGTAGTTAATCTCTGCAGCCTGTGCAGCACAGACAGATAGGTTTACTCTAAACCCTCACCCTGACCCTATTCCTTACATTAGATTTTTTTTGTGGAGTACTTGAGTACTCGATAATAATTTAATGCAAGTACTTGAATATAGAAATTATTTAAAATGCCCATCCCTAATGGGAATTAGTAAAGGCTGGTAGTAGAAGTAGCAATGGAGGCTTGGAGGCTGTAGTAGTAGTGATGTAATCATGTAGACATTAACATCGTTTATGTCATGACGGGCAGCCACATGATCTGGTATGTTGATGAGCGATCACAGAAGGCGGGAGCATTTACAGCGATCATGTTTTCCTTCTCATCACTGTATTTCTATGTGTTTGAGTGTGATTAATAGAAAGACAGTGGTGGCAAAATGGCAGAAACCAGCAACAGCTGCAGTAGTAGCAGCAGCAGCAGCCAAACATACTGTATATGCAGTGTGTGAGGGACGGTGTCCAGCAGACTGCGATGCAGTACAGAGAGATGGGTGTGAGAGGAAGGCACATTACTTTCAGTGTGCAGAGTAGCAGAACTGCCTGTGAGCGCCTTGGCAAGACTCGCTTTGGCCATTACATTTCCTACATCCTCTTCAGCATCTTACAGCATCTCAGTATCAACCATCAATTTGATCTACGAGCTGGTTTATGTTCTCATGCAATCCCAGGGCTCTTTATTACTATTTAAAAATTTCTTACACCTCATGCACACTGGTCTCACTGGGAATCTGAACATGAGAAAAAGGAAAGCAGCACCAGAAATCCAGACTACAGACCAGTTGCCTCATCTGCCTCCGACTCTCACTGAATAAATAATTGAAGCCTTCAGACAAAGAGCCATACGAGCCTTTTATGGAATATTTTGTACCAGCGACGTAATTGCGAATGTAACATTAATCACTCGACATCCACCTTTACAGGATGAGCGTGAATGTTAATAGCCAATTATGCAAATATACAGTATTAAGATAATGAGTTTTGACTACATAAAATTAACCTATGTTTCCTCCTCTGAGGGTTTTAGCCACACAAGCGGATATGGCATTTTGTAAAAGGTTTAAAGCAACAGAGATACCATGGATAGATGTGTCAGGTGATCCTGCACTACTACAACTGTAAATTAAAAACATATTCAAATTGTGACAAATGCAGTGGATCTTCGCTATATATTTTATTGAAAAATCACTTGGTCATTTGCATATTACCTGCTGTCATCCCATAAATCACCAAATTCTCCTCTGTTATTTAAGCACCATGTCCAAAAATGGATCGTGAATTATAGAGTGTCCCAGGAAGGAGACAGTGCTGTACTTTAAGCTTACAGCAAAACAGATTGAGGCTGAATTATTGACGAGAGTCATTTCTGTTTGCCTGTGGATGTCTGCCAGTGAGGGCTGCATGCCACCAACTCTGTGTCAGTGTATTTTGGATGTATCTCTATTAGCGTTGTCTAAATAAATTCTTGTGTTTGCGATATTGATGTGACAAAGCACTGATGTTGTCCTCTGTAGGTTATTAAGATTGGTCCCCTGGGCCACAGGAAGAGGATCATCGCCTCTCTAGCAGAGAGACCCTATGAAGAGGCGCCATCGAAGTCCCGCCGTCTGTCCCCAATTATGGTAAGACTGGTGATCAGTGTTGGGCTCGCTACTCAGAAAATTACTTGTTATTCTTTTCAATACTAATATTATTACTTTACGTATTACTCCCTGCCAACAATAATTTGTTACATTACTCATTAGGGCTGCACAATATAAGGAAAATATGCCATAATGATATTACTTGCTGCAATAATAAAATTAAAATTAAATTAAAATGTGCTCAGTTCTGCCTTTCTGCTCCTTTCAGTATACTGCAAAAGTTCAACAAACTACTTTTTGAATTGTAAAAATGAAAGGAAATTATTTTCAACGTTGCTTTATTGAACAATTTCACCCTTAACTAAGTCCTGCCACATGAACACAGACTGGCTAATCATATTGTAGCATCAGCTGGGTCCAACAAGGGTCTGACATCAACACAGCTGTGCTCCATTGACTCTAATGCAATCGTTTCAAATTTCCCTCATTTTCAGGCTGTTTTTGTGGATTTTTAACCAAACACTGTGTCTATGGCAGTTGTATTAATGATACTTGTTACCTGGAGAGGTTAGAAAAAGATGTTGTTTCTTCCATGTTCCAAAACCAAAATCAAACCCTGAAAAGTGTAGGGTTAGCAAGCTAGCTACTGAAGATAAAGCCTACTGAATGTATACACATGCTGCTTTTGCTTTTTAATGATTATACACTGAGTAAAGACCCACTCTGATGTACAGGAGCCAGAAATATTCAACCAGCTGTGTATAATCGCAGTGTCTACAGAAGCACATTGTTTGGCTTCCCTTGGAGCTCCCACTCATCCGGTGGTGGAGGTCTGACAGCTGGTGGCACAGGGGGGAAGCCAAACACCGAATATTGGCAAAGTTTCCCTTTGTATTCATTGTCTTCTGTCTCGATGCCCAGTGATGTGGTGGTGCAGTGTTACACTGTGATCTGAAGCCTATAGTTCAGCTTTAGCTTCTAACTATCTTTGTCTTTTTAACCTGTTGTTGCTGCTGAGTCAGTTTGACATCCTGGATATATCCTTCAAACACAGACTGTAGACCCCTCTGTCTGCTTCTCTGTGGAATCACTCTTTCATTTTTCCAAAAATTTCCAAAATCTCTTCAGGGAGTGCAGTTAGTTACAGAGTGGGCTCCATGATTGCTCCAACAGCTTGACAGACTATCACGAAGCGGCAGGGCTTAGTGAAAGGTCAATTGAACATTGAACTGAGCACAAAAGGCACCAATGAAGAAGTCATAGTTCCATTTTTAAAGTGCAGTTTTCTACCGATACCATCTGTCATCACCGTGATTACAATGTATTAAACGATATACTGTGCAGCCCTACTATGACTCATTATATTACTTTTTGGTTTCATGTACAGTACAGGCCAAAAGTTTGGACACACCTTCTCATTCAATGTGTTTTCTTTATTTTCATGACTATTTATATTGTAGATTCTCACTGAAGGCATCAAAACTATGAATGAACACATGTGGAGTTATGTACTTAACAAAAAAAGGTGAAATAACTGAAAACATGTTTTATATTCTAGTTTCTTCAAAATAGCCACCCTTTGCTCTGATTACTGCTTTGCACACTCTTGGCATTCTCTCCATGAGCTTCAAGAGGTAGTCACCTGAAATGGTTTTCCAACAGTCTTGAAGGAGTTCCCAGAGGTGTTTAGCACTTGTTGGCCCCTTTGCCTTCACTCTGCGGTCCAGCTCACCCCAAACCATCTCGATTGGGTTCAGGTCCGGTGACTGTGGAGGCCAGGTCATCTGCCGCAGCACTCCATCACTCTCCTTCTTGGTCAAATAGCCCTTACACAGCCTGGAGGTGTGTTTGGGGTCATTGTCCTGTTGAAAAATAAATGATCGTCCAACTAAACGCAAACCGGATGGGATGGCATGTCGCTGCAGGATGCTGTGGTAGCCATGCTGGTTCAGTGTGCCTTCAATTTTGAATAAATCCCCAACAGTGTCACCAGCAAAACACCCCCACACCATCACACCTCCTCCTCCATGCTTCACAGTGGGAACCAGGCATGTGGAATCCATCCGTTCACCTTTTCTGCGTCTCACAAAGACACGGCGGTTGGAACCAAAGATCTCAAATTTGGACTCATCAGACCAAAGCACAGATTTCCACTGGTCTAATGTCCATTCCTTGTGTTTCTTGGCCCAAACAAATCTCTTCTGCTTGTTGCCTCTCCTTAGCAGTGGTTTCCTAGCAGCTATTTGACCATGAAGGCCTGATTGGCGCAGTCTCCTCTTAACAGTTGTTCTAGAGATGGGTCTGCTGCTAGAACTCTGTGTGGCATTCATCTGGTCTCTGATCTGAGCTGCTGTTAACTTGCGATTTCTGAGGCTGGTGACTCGGATGAACTTATCCTCAGAAGCAGAGGTGACTCTTGGTCTTCCTTTCCTGGGTCGGTCCTCATGTGTGCCAGTTTCGTTGTAGCGCTTGATGGTTTTTGCGACTCCACTTGGGGACACATTTAAAGTTTTTGCAATTTTCCGGACTGACTGACCTTCATTTCTTAAAGTAATGATGGCCACTCGTTTTTCTTTAGTTAGCTGATTGGTTCTTGCCATAATATGAATTTTAACAGTTGTCCAATAGGGCTGTCGGCTGTGTATTAACCTGACTTCTGCACAACACAACTGATGGTCCCAACCCCATTGATAAAGCAAGAAATTCCACTAATTAACCCTGATAAGGCACACCTGTGAAGTGGAAACCATTTCAGGTGACTACCTCTTGAAGCTCATGGAGAGAATGCCAAGAGTGTGCAAAGCAGTAATCAGAGCAAAGGGTGGCTATTTTGAAGAAACTAGAATATAAAACATGTTTTCAGTTATTTCACCTTTTTTTGTTAAGTACATAACTCCACATGTGTTCATTCATAGTTTTGATGCCTTCAGTGAGAATCTACAATGTAAATAGTCATGAAAATAAAGAAAACGCATTGAATGAGAAGGTGTGTCCAAACTTTTGGCCAGTACTGTAAATTTTTTACATGGGGTCTTCTGTTTCTTGTGACAGGTATTTTCCGCAGTGATCTGTCTGAGTGATGGAGAGTTTGTCATGGAGATAGGCAACATTTCACTCACCACATATTTAGCCACAAGCTTCAGTAGTTCTTTGTCACTTGTGGCCTGCTGTCCACAATTAAAATAAAGTTTTGGTTGTTTCACCAGTGTAGGGCTACAGTCTTGCTTCACGACTGCAGAGGGCTCACCTATGGTGGGGTGTGTTCCATGAGCTTCATTTGTGTTGTGCTGTCAGCTGTAGTAGGTGTTTTAGGAGGTTTGAGGTTGTGTTTTTGCAGTGGATAGAGCCTTAGTACCACCACCTGCTTGGGCTGGGTATTGATACTTGATACCTTTTTAATGTATTGGCCAAGATAACCCAGTGCCAAGTAGTATCGAAATGTCTCCAGTCATGCGATGCCTGTATCTGATCCTTTTTGCATTTGCTAACTCCTTGCTGGATCAGCACAATCTCTGTTGCTGCTGTGTCCAGAGCAGCTCTCCACCCAGCAAAACAGTCAGTTCCCCGTCTGCCCGGTTAGCAGGAGCTAACACGGCAGCAGTTGCTAACATCCAACAATCTCAAACTGACACCGAAATGGCTCAACTCTGTTGGTAAACCTGTTAATGACTGTTGGGTGATGTTAACTGTGTGATGCTAACAATTAGCCCCGTCACCGTGTATGTGCAGTTGGGCGAACTCTCGCAACTGTCCCTGGCAACAACCCATACAGTCTGTAGTGTGGTGAAGTCGAGGGTGGTGTATTTGACAGAGTTGGTAGTAGAGATGCCACCAGAATGTTTGAAAAATAAATCCAGGGATGTCACTGATTGTTGGATTTCCAATGCTTAGAAGGGTTACAACAAAATGCATTTTTTTAAATTTTGTTTATTTATTTATTTTTGATAACTGTAATATTATTACTGACATTTAATTGATAATTCGTTAGACTACCCGTTACTGAAAAAGGAATAGTATTACTGTAACATGCTACTGCTATGTTGGGATGTAGAAACTGATACAGTTCAAAGTCACAGTATTATATGGTCTTCATTTTTGGCACTTCATTAGGTGTCACTGACTTGATATCATCTCTACTCTACAATCACAAAATAACAAAGTACAGTCTAGGAAAAATGTTTCAGAGTGTGTTTGCACTCTGATGAAAATAGTCACACTGCAGCCATTGACACACATCCCTACAACGAGTTATTATGGATCCAACTGTGTGCAGTAATTGGTTAGTACTCATCACGTTGATGTGTGGTGGTTGGAGCTGATTAGGATAAGGATATTATGGAAATTCTGAGATTGGAGAGGTAAATTTTTAAGGAAAAACTCACACGTACTGCCAGAAAGTCAGGTGAGGTAGTATAGAGAGCAACACAGTCCTCAGAGGAAATAAGATGTTGTTAATGAGTAGGTCAAGCACAGGACTTTCACGCAGGAGACTGAGGTTTGAGTCCAGTATAAATTTACATTGGCTTTTTATTCTTAGACTTAGTTGACTTATTATTTTCTATTTCTAGGATGTAAAAAGCTGCTGAATGCACACTGTGTACATACATCTTAGCAGAATAGCTGAATCGACCAGTTTGTGTTAATGTCATATTTCGAAATTGCTAGGACGCTCAGGACATAAACTCGCGTGTAAATAGGTGCAGATATCATTGCTGGCTATGAACACCTGGGTGCAAATAGCATCTGCCAAAATGTTTTAATCTAAAGCACCTTGCAGGATTGAGAGTGTGAATCAGACTGCAGCATCGTTAGTGCTGCTATTTAACCATCAGGTGCAGAAACACACTGTCAGTGCTAATTTGGTGAAAAGATCGGGTGTGCTCAATATGCCCAATTAGAAAGGCTGTTCTGCTTATGGCTTCAATAAAACCCATATTTAGTGTCACTGATGTCTATAAAAGATACAGAATGTTTTTCTTTTTTGTCTGAAATGGGTTCACGTTTGTTCAGATGTGTTGTTTTAGTGCTCAGTATTTCAGTTGACAACATCGATGATGACACCCTGGTACTTTTCTCATTGATCAACAATCAGAATCAGAGCTTAGGTTAAACTAGTTAAACAACGTAGCATGACAAGCTTTATTTCTATGCCAACATAATTTTGTGAGAAAATGGATCCTTCTTTTTTTCCAGCCGCACATATCTAATTTTGGAATGAGATTCTTCAATATCATTATGTTCACAACAGTTAAATACTCAGGGCTGATTTCCCAGGCAGATTAAACTGGGCTAAAAAGAATTGAGAATCTCCATGGAAGAGGCTCTTTTGTCGAGGATTAAGCTTGGATGTAGATCAGGGAAACCAGCCCATGTAGACAGTGCTGTCAAATCATTAATCTGTGCTGTGCTGTGTGTGTGTGTGTTTGTACTCTTTTGTGTGACTGTGTGTGTGCATGCATGGCAGTTCCATGACCTCCTGTCCCAGACGACATCTCCACTCAGTCAGATGGACCCCTACACCAGTCGCTCCATGGACATGCTCCTGCCCTTGGCTGAGTCGGACCGGAGGCGGAGAGGAGTTGACCAAGATGTGTGTAGTGTTTCTCTGCGTTCATATAGTGAGAGGCCGCGCTCTGTAGTGAGTCCCACCTTACTTCACTTCTGTCGTCCACTGGGAAACCACCAGTGAGCGACTAGCTGAATAATAGAGGAGGATGCTGTACAAAGTTAGACGTGTCGGGGTGTCTTGTCACATGAGCCATGCTGGATGAAAAACTGAACCCACTGGTTGAGTTAAATCATAGTGGGCAGGCCCAAAGAACCACAGCAACGTCAGAGTGTAACCAGAGAAACAGCAAAGGGTAATTAGGGTTGAGCGATGCGACAATATCTCCAGCACAATGAGATGATGAGAATTACATCTACCATTCACATGGTGGTAGCTATCACTTTAATATCTCTGGATGGATTATTGGACCATCATGGACAATGTTGGACATCAATAAGCAGGACTGCTCCATGGAAATATCGGATTTTTATATTGTTTTTGTATCAACATGATGAAGTACTTTGATTGAACACACATTTAATTCGATGAATTGGCCAAATGTTTTATAATATACTCGGCTGCCAGTTTATCAGGAGCACCACCACAAACTACATCCTCTAAAACCATTAAGTTGAATATCTTATTAAAAGAAACAACATTATTTTATTGCAGGACAGTTGTATTAGACTAGTTTTAGCTAGGTGTACCCAATAATCTGGCAACTGAGTATAAGTATTATATAACACAGGAGCTAATTTTATGAAGCGCAGCGCCTCTGATTCAGGCTGAAAAACTGCCATCTATTACATATATTTAAGACATTCTCAAGATTTAGTTAGCTTAATGTACCCTCCATTAGGGCTGTATGATTTGGATGAATTCATAAGATAATTCTTCCAAATTTTGATATATTCCACAATATGGAAAAAGTGTTAAAATCACATGACTGATATTCAGTGCAGTGAAAGGTTTAACGGCCTGTGTCCACACAGAGTTTTTTTTGTGAGTGCTGGTGTCTTTTTACAGTTGTTTCCAGTGTGGAAAACGTGTATGCAGCTGCATTTGGCCACCTGGAGAAAAAGCCTTATGTCCAGGACTATTTTCAGAGCCCTCTGGCTTTTTTGTGCTGCTGCTCTTAGTGCTTCTCGTTGGACAACTCGGGTACTAGTGATGTCACTGCCTCTCCTTTAGCTACCGTCTAACTTTCACAACAAAGACGGAAAATTCCTTTGTTGGAGCATATCGGTCGGACACTGAACGTTGTTGGTTAGTATTGTGTTTTCATCACCATATGTGTTGGAAGCTTGTTCTTAACTGTGTCGCCAAGCCTCTGTTAATGTAGCATTATGTTAGCTGCCTAGCTAATGTCAAGGTCAAGACATTGCTGTCATAGAAAAAAACCCCACATGTAAATCATTAATACCAAAAGCCCAGGGGTGAAGCCTCCGCAGCACCCTGCAACCCCCTTTCTGCTAAAGAAAAACGCTGTGGATACACACCCTAATACTTTCAATACTTTTCCGCATTGAAATGTCTTAAAACAACTAGACCTATGTTATATATTTTGTTAAGTTGTGTACGTACATTATTCTGAAATGTTTCCAACAATGTTCAAACCCAGCGACTCTCATCATCTCTCAATTTATTCAAGACATGGTTTGTTACATTTGGTCGCCTGTCTATGGCATCACATCCCCTTTACTCCCTCTAGTTGCTCTAACTTTCAGGGAAACACCAGATGATACGTCTTTGAAAATTACACAGTATCACATAGATGTACTCAATAACAGCAATACAGCATTTTTTCTTTCCTGCCACACACCACTTTTTTTTTTATTAATTGCATGCCATTTTGCAACACAGCAATCCAGAAGAAATGTAATACACTGACATGATGTTTCAATCCAGCTTACTCCGACCACAAAGCTAATGCATATGGTAACATTATAACGATACAACATCAGCAACACAATCATGAAGCTAACACTGATTCTAAAATGGCTAAAAAAAAAAACTGATGTAGGCTGAAAACACCACACCAACTAGGGTGACAGATGCTCACCGACAGCCCAACATTGACCGATGGCTGACCATCGGCTTGGCATATCAGATCCTTTATGCGTGTTCTCATTCTTAAACATAATTTGTGCTCGAGTCACAATAGATAGACTTTCACGATGTTTGTTAAACAATGAAGACAGCAACTCCCATGATCCCACTCTGCTGCAGAAATAACAGAAACTACATACTGTGCATTGAACTGTCCTAAAATTTTGCATTGTATCAGAAAAAACTAGCAATAATACAGCTGTTCTCGTAATCTTCTCAGCTACTAAAGCATGTTACATTTCCATCATGAATGCCATAAAAAAACATATTTATCAGTTATGTAACTTTTTCTAGAGGCACTGTGGCCGTTAGACTCATCTAGTATATTTTAACTAACTCACACATTAAGATCAATTGTCTCCATAGTAGCTCTGATTTTTACTAAATTTGAAAAACTAAATACGGCATCTTCTTCCATTGACATGAATTCAGTTCTTATGTGCTTCCCTGAATTTCTTGTGTTCCTCTTTAAGGAATTGAACCAAGAATAACTCAGTGATCAAATTTTACCATTTGCTAAAGGTCAAACTCCGACACACACAAACAGTTGAACTGACATGCCTCGTGTCTGACTTACTGCGGTCAAAGAGAAAACACAGAGGAGTGTCCGCAGATAAGCGAAACGTCGGGAACGACTGCAGCACTCAGGATCCATTATATCTAAAATCAATACTTATCATTTTCCTAAATGCTTGGTGGATTATTGTCAGTAGTATATTTTACTCTGACAGGTGATTTATGAAAGAGCTGAGCACAGCCCACACTGACCTAAAGGCCCGACCGTGCGCATGAATATTTATGAGCGTACCAGCAGATCAAAAAGGACTTGTATTACTGTAAAGTGCTGACTGAGCACACTTGAGTTGCCTTCACACTAATATTCCAGCAGTCAGGAGTCTAATATGCACAAAATACAGCATCTTATCATTCTTTATTGTCTACACCAGTGGCTCACAAACTCCTTCTAACAATATACCCCTTTTGAAATGTTTTTGAAGCTCAGTACCTCCTGACCACTGTAAAACATTGTTGGTCTGAAACACAGGTGAAAAAAATGTTGAGATGATCCCATTTTTTTGACAGTTGACATGATTGCACTGAATATAGAGCTATTGAATGTGAAATGGTACATCGTTTATCAAACGTACATTTACATTTTTTAAATTTATTATAGTAGAATTATTTTAGGAATTATGCATGACTGATCCCAGCTGGCCACCAGCATCATTAGACTTTGATATTTGGTGGAATATAGGTTGTAATGTCAGGTGACAAAATTTCAGTATCAGATTATTTTTCAATTAAATTCAATTCACAATTTTATTTACAAAAACAGCTAAAAAATACAGGTAGAATTGATAAGAAATAATGGAGATGTGAAATGAAAGACCCTGATAAGCTATCGAAAGCTTGAGAATAGGGGCCCAGACATGAAGCAAAACCGTAACCCCCTAACCAAAAATCTGGAGACTAAACTAACCTAATGCAAACTACTAAATGGTCCCAAAACATTTATTCGATCAGTCTAAACATTGGTTTCACAATATCTAATGCCAGCGTCAATTTGACATAGGATAATGACAACATGACGTTTAAAGTTGAGTTAAGAAAATAAAATCAAATGTCCTCCAAATGTTTCATTCTAATGTCATCTTGACGTTAAAGAGCAACAGTTAGTCTCTCTTTTTTTCTATCTTTTTTTTTTTTTAATCTAAGAAAGAAAGAACATGAGGTCGTCATGGGTGTTACAAGGTCAATTCCCAGTACATTTTTCACTAAACAGGCATATGGTGTCGCACCTTTCTCAACAGCGTTTATACACAATCCATTTCTCACAGTATTTTGCACATTTTTCCATCTCTGGTCTTAAAATACAAGTAAGTCTTTCCATACAGTATATTTCATCTATAATCTCCAACCATTGGACCAATGTTGGAGGACTAACTTGCAGCCATTTGCGACTTATGGCTTTCCTGCTACTTGCCAAAAGTATCTTTAATAAATACTTATTTGTTTGGGGCACTTTCAGATATTTTTCCTAAGTATAACCTGACAAATGAATAGACAAAATCCATCCCAATTATCTTATGAATCTCAGCTGCAATCTCTTGCCAATATGGTTGTATTTTTGTCTGATTCTTTCTCCCATTTTTGTTAATTATATGGATCAACGTGAAATTCTATTGTCATTAGACATCTAAAATATCGTTAGCCCAATTTTTATTCCAACCAAAATTTGACGTCTGTTCGATGTAATAGTCCAACATCTTTCTGATGCATATTGACGTCCCCTGCCAGCTGGGATATTTTTTAAACTAACATTTAAAAAACATCTCACAGACCCCCTGCAGTACCCATACCATTTAAGAAACGCTGGTCTATACTTACCAAGAGAAAAGGATTCCCACTGTCGTTATACAAGTATATAATATGTTTAATGTCACCAATGTTGGTTGTGTTTTCCTCTTTCTTTTGTTTTCACCAACCAGTGATTTTGCATCTCTGCAGGACAGACAGAGTGAACGGCACAAAGAGTCTCGTCTAAACCTCCGGCCGCCAAGCCATTCTGCTACCTACGCCACGGTGTCCGCCTGGCATCACCAGCCTGAGAAGCTAATCCTGGACTCCTGCGGGTACGAGGCAACCGTAAGTCACTTTTCACTGCCTTCAGCATCGACGCAGACATACACTGATTTTTATTGATGACAGAATTACTTATTGTTTACCATAAAACAGATTGACAGGGATAATTTATGTAATTTACTGCACCTGGTGCCTCCATCCTGCACTGTGTAGTGAACATGTAGTGTGTGCTTTGATTTCTTCTCCTAGTACCTAGGATCAATGATAATCAGGGATCTACGAGGGATTGAGTCCACACAAGATGCCTGTGCTAAAATTAGGGTAAGTATCACTGAAAGGCTGCAAAAATATTGTTTTCTTCTCATTTAATTTGCTCTGACATTTTGAAGAACTGAAGAATGTTTTATTGGTTAAAATAAATGAATAAAAAATAAATAATTCCAGCAAACAAACAATGAAAATGTCAGACATGAAATGACAGGGTTACAGATGAGGAATACAGCTGACAATTACTTTTCCCAGACTGAGATCATCCTCGTGCATAATTATTTCTATAATGACATCTAGAGTGCATGAGCTGTCGTGTTTTGTTGTTCTGTATGTTCTCGTCTCTCACTCTTTTTATTGTGTTTCCTGCAGAAATCAAAGGACTCCAGAAAGGGTCCGGTCGTCATACTGTCCATTACCTATAGAGGGGTCAAGTTTATTGATGCAGCCACGAAGGTAATGGGAAAGTATGTTTGTGTATCTCCGCGCACATCGATCGGTCCAACCCAAACATTGCAGTCGACTCTCTCAGCCCTTCATTAGTGGTTGATTTCCAGTAAGCGCTCGCTTCCTTCCTGTCTCCATTAGACTATAGTTGCGGAGCATGAGATCAGGAACATTTCCTGCGCCGCCCAGGACCCAGATGACCTCTGTACTTTTGCTTACATTACCAAGGATCTGAAGAGTGGCCACCACTTCTGTCACGTCTTCAGCACTGTGGAAGTGGTGAGTAATACAACTCTGTCCTGTTTAAGTTAGAAAAATATGAACAAAGTGCATAAACATAAAGCTCTCGATTTACTTGTCCATCTACGTTCGGATCCACACCTATGGTCATGAGCTTTGGGTAGTGACCGCAAGAGTGTGATTGCGGATACAAGTAGCTAAAAGGAGTTTCCTCCATAGGGTGGCTGGGCTCAGCTTTAGAGGTAGGTTGAGGAGCTTAGGCATTTGGAGGGAGCTTGGCGTAGAGCAGCTGCTCCTTCACATCGACAAGGGCCAGTTGAGGTAAATCGGGCATCTGATCAGGATGCCTCCTGGGCACCTCCTATTAGAGGTTTTCCAGGCACGTCCAACTGGAAGGAGGCCCGGGGCAGACCCAGAACACGCTGGAGGGATTATATATCTCATCGGCCTGGGAATGCCCCGGGATCCCCAGGAGGAGCTGGAAAGTGTTGCAGGGGAGAGGGACGTCTGGAGTACCTTGTTCAGCCTGCTGCCCTTGCTGCGACCTGGCCATGGATAAGCAGATGAAAATAAATGGATATACATTCACCATCCATTTTGTACAGTCATCAGAAACGTACAGCTCATCCAAGAATCGACTTTTATTCCTACCTCTGATAGTGTAGCTGTAACATTTCCATACAATCTATCAAGGAATCCCATATATCTTCGTATTTCTTGAGCTTTTGGTAAATTCATCATTGAATAATTTAGAATAAACAAGGTGTCCTTTGTGGGATCTCCAATATCCCGCAGGTAAACCTGCATGCAGCATCCTGTGGACATTAATTCCTTGATTGGCTCATCAAATGGCTTGATTGAAGTTCCACTCCCGCTATGCATGGCATTTTCTATATGCAGTCACAGATGATGCTGTAATTTGCATCTCAGCTTCTTTAAAGGTCGAAGACAATCTTTTCTCTTTTGCAGACGGATCACTGTGGAGTGTCGGTTAACTGCAGGGAGACTTTATCGTAATGATGAAAGTTTTCGTGAGGCCAAAACACGATTTTAAGATACACCTATTTGTATTTAACACATCTGCTCCATGGTTGCAAAATGTCATGTGAAAACTGTTTCTGCTTTTCTCTGAAAATGTGATATTCAAACAGGAGCCAAAGGATAATTATACAGAGCAATTACCCTAACAATGTGAAGTGCAGCGCTTTTGTGTGCTGTGTAGTGGTTTTTGTGTGTGATGCACGACAAATTGTTGAAAACAAGCATTTGCAAACCCAAGAAAATAACTGTTAATTGTTTGTTTAGACTAACAGTCAGAAGTCACTAAATATATACTTACAGTAGATTTTGATTCCAAGCTACATGGCTAAATTGTTCAACAGAACTTGTACCAAATGTTTAGTCACATTTGTGTAAGCGTAAGGCTTCTACTAAGAGTTGTTTGAACGGTTATATTATTTGTCATACACACAAGCAAAGGGCCTATACACTAAATCTCTTTAAGGTTAATGTAAACTCACTTAAAATCTGTTGTAAAACCAAAGAACTGTGAAGAAGTTGTTTCTATCTTGAGCGCCAGCTGTAATGGCAACTTTCTTTTCTGTCAGTGTCACAGCCTGGCTCTGAGACTGTGACAAAAATGGCGACACACATGGGTATGATTTATTTACTCAAAAATAATAAAAACATGATGTTTGGTGAGAGGAGATGTGCCCGCACCAGGACTGGTTGCAGCTCTCTCCTGTATGCATGGTGCTCACAGCGGGCCCAGGTGTTTCCAATGCCACTGATTACACTCAATCAGGGCTGCCTTCAGCTCCCTGGCAAGTGGCAAAACATTTATTCAGAACTGAAACGGTGGTGTGTTGAACACCCTGTTGTGTTATGTAAGCGCAGTGCCTTTTAATAGCAATGTTAATGTACATGTCGCTGCTGATGGGGCAACACCTCTGTCACATCCACCTAATGAGAGAAAACATGCCTCTAAGCCTGTTGCACACCGTTTCGAGGAAATGTTGTTCAACCTAGAAACTGTAGGATAACGGTGCAGACTGCAACACGCACGTGCCCCGGGGCTGCGTTCAGCCTTGACAAAACTAACAAAACACTTATTTAAACAGAAACAGTGGTGTGTTGAACACCCTGTTGTGTAATGCAGGCACACTGCCTTTTAATACGGCGAGGATTAATTCAATACAATTTAAAGGGGCCGTATTGGTATGGCAATATATGCATACATCACCAAAGCAAAAGTGAAATAAAAACAAAAATTGCATGCACAGTAAGTCAAGATCTGTTAGAAAATATTCTATATATACATTGCTGCTGATCACCTCCAACACTCCCACCAAACATGAAAAGAGTACCTTAAAGCCCTCACACCTTTTTGAGGAAACATGTCGTTTAACCTGCAAAATGGTAGACACCATTTAAAGATTGAATGTGCCTCTGGTGAGCAGCCCTGCAGAGAGAAAACACAGAAAGAGGAACCAAGCAGAGGGGCCGTCACAATTACCAAGACCTAACTTTATGTTCACTGTTGACTGATTTCAACACACTTTTTTTTTTTATCTACACAGACGCAGACCTACGAGATCATCCTGACACTGGGACAGGCGTTTGAGGTGGCCTATCAGATGGCGATGCAGTCCAGGGCGAGACACTATGTCCCACCTACATCTCTGACCTCAGAGGTCATAGAGACCAAAACCAGCCGTCCTGTATCTCAGTCGTGGAGCAGCATGCGGAGATCAGCAGTGAGTACCACCTTACAGCTCTTTAAAAGACATGTTGAACGCGTGTTATCTCTGAGTGTGTGTGTGTGTGCTGAATTTGCTCTATGTTGTTAAGAGGACAGAGGGAGGAGTAGAAACACACTGTTGTACAATCATAATTCAGAAAAGGTACACAGACCTCGTGACCGACTTTCTCCCCGCCACTGAATCCCCAATGGGCCACCTACAAAGGAAGATTTGCTGTGTGTGTGGTAGAAAGTGATGAGTCATTACTTTGCGACCAATTTCATCTCGCCCACCCCTCAACTCTGACTCACTCAGATCAGGGGAGATTTTTTTTTTTTGTGCATATGCGAAACATGATGAATGAATAGTTTTATTTGTTGCTTACAGGCGGGTAAATGATTTCCTCGGGGACTTTTCTGAGGACTCAGCCCCACTGGTTGGACCCATCCGCCGCTTCCTCACTATTGATTAATTGTGTTGCGTATATGTTGACGTATACCCTGAGCTACGCATTGATGCATTGACCTCTCAGGCTGCATATAATGAGCACTCAGTGATCACTGTCACCTGAAAGAGAGGCACAGCCAGGAGCAGGCACACTGTGAGACCACATGCTTATGCAGAGGCACAAATCACTTTGTTTTACTAACTGCCTGTAAGGATAATATATGGAGTAATCACAGAGCTGCATAATGAGTCTGGCTGGTTGTTTAAGTTTTAAATGAGACGGGGGGGACTCCTATCTGCTGCAATTTGTTTTAATGTTTTTTATTGCCGTGTGAACGCTACCAAATCTAGCTGGTTTAAACAGACTGTGACAGCCGTGCAGTTTTTTTACATTTTATTTTCCATAGGGAGAGATTGACAGTTCGCTTCACTCCCATCCCCCCTTTAGTTACTGTTGCTACACCTGCCAAGCTTCTTGTTCTTGCACAACACATGTGCAGTTTGCAGAGACTACGTTTACCTGCACACTAATATTCCACTATTATTCTGAGTATGACAGTAGTCTGAATATGATGCAGGTCATGTTAACCGCATATTCCATTTAGATATTCAGAATTAGGCCTTTTTTTTTGGAATTTAGTATCAAGACTTGGGATATGCTGTCATTATTCAGTTTTGAATAGCATTCTTATTTATTAATATCAGTCTTAATTGGCATTTTTTACAGCAGTGTGTGACGCACAGGCTCTTGCCTGTTCATAGTCAGCTCTTTGTTGTCATAGATGCATTGTACACAAACCAACTAGCCTACAGTTTCAAAGGCTGTGGGGTAGAGATGCATGCATGAACAAAAAGCCCACATTTCTGATCAGAAGGACATCCAGCACACTTGGATAGGCCCAAACATCGCAACACCGACCTTTCCAAGACCTTGGTGGAAGGAATGAAAGAGGGAGGCTGTGTTTACACGGTTGAAAAAGTCACCACTGGTGGAAAACTGTGATAAAATCCTATTTTGATACACAAGCGGATCCAGCATATTTTGACATGATAAACAATAATGTGAGGGCATGTGAATTTGAGTATGTACCGCTGCGTGAAAACTGGAATATTAGTGGAATATTCCTTGTCATTAGTCATGTCAACAACTTAGTGGGAATATTGTCTTTTTCGGTAAAGTCTTTTTCGCAAAACTGGAATATTTTGTGCAAGTAAAGGTAGTCGGTGATAACAGTGACAGATTTACAACTTCAGATTCTTTGTAATATTTGAAACAGTGGGTTCTTGATATCAACAGAGGTGGATAGAGCAACCTTCTCAATTTTAGCTGTCGATAGTCAATTTTTCTGACTGAAAAAACAGCTGCTTATTTACATTAGCTCTGTGAGTTTGTTGAAGATGCTGCCTCTGTTTTAAACAACTCCTGTAAAGGTGAACTTCACGGCTACATACAGAGACACCTCCGAGCAACTTTCAAATAGGAATGTAAGAAATCACCAGTGATAGGTTAAAGAAGTTAGAGGCTGAATCAGGTAATATTAGCTGAAAATACTTTGGACAAATCATAGTTTTAACCTATGCATGTATGATAAGGAATAATGTACGTCTTTTGTCAGACTGTGTAGACTGTTGTTAAGATAACCCTGCTGGCTTCTTGGCTTATGAACTTGTTTGTATTTGCAGACAAGCCTTTCACTTTTGATGTGACAAGAGAAAAAGCTGTTAGGATGACGAGGACTAACCAAAGTGGCAAACGTGATGCTCGTATATCTTAAAGGGATAGTGCACCCAAAATGAAAATTCAGCCATTATCTACTCACCCATATGCCGATGGAGGCCCTGGTGAAGTTTTAGAGTCCTCACATCCCTTGCAGAGATCGGTGGGCGGAGCGGATAGCACACCTAATGGTAGACGGTGCCCCAGACTAACGTCCAAGAACACAAAATTGAATCCACAGAGTATCTCCATACTGCTCATCCATAGTGATCCAAGTGTGCTGCAGCTGCGACATAAAAAGTTGTTTCGAAAAACGTCATTTGAACTCTGTTTTTAGCTTCACTGTAGCCTGTAGCTCTGACTGCTTCTCTGTGCTCCGCGCTCACGTGTGCGCGCCTGTGCGAGACCAGCGAAAGCATGAGCTTTGCTCACCTGTGTTTACATCACGTGACACGTGCACCGCAGGGAGAGACAACAGTAACCACAGAGCTAAAAGATAATTTGAACTACGGTCTTTTAGCAAAGGACAGCCCAACATGTCTGAAGACTTTGAAATTGAGGAGGAACAGCATTTCTTTGTTGAGCCGTATTTGTTTGAGCCCGAGTATACGGACGGAACTCAGGCTACTGGACGAAGCAGCCGCCGCAGCTCATGACCCTCAGCCAGCCGCAGAATACCGGAGTCGAGCACTGGAAACCTGGTGGTGTAGTTGTTTCAAATGCAAAGCAATGCCAATGGATGAGGAAAGTCTTTGCTGCTCAGACTGGGAATTGGTGATGCCTGCACTTGAGAATCTGGACATCAGTACTGACGAAACTGCTGCTCTTCAGAGACCGCACATCACCGATCACCCTGAGCGCTGAGTTCATATGACGTTTTTTGAAACAACTTTTTATGTTGCGGCTGCAGCACACTTGGATCACTACGGATCAACAATATGGAGATACTCTGTGGATTCCATTTTGTGTTCTTGGACGTTAGTCTGAGGCACCGTCTGCCATTAGGTGTGTTGCCCGTTCCCCCGGTCGATCTCCGCAAGGGATGTGAGGACTAAAACTTCACCAGGGCCTCCATCGGCATATAGGTGAGTAGATAATGGCTGAATTTTCATTTTTGGATTCACTATCCCTTTAAGGAACTTTTGCTTTAGCTGCTAGAGCGTACTCCAACACAGGGAATAACAGAGGGGGGTCATCCCCATGTTCCCAGGATCCAGTGCTCCCAAGTGTGTTCAGTTTTAATCATTTGTTTCCGGATATAAACCAACATTGTAAGAGACTGGTGAGGGTTATTCTCACAGTTCAAATAGCAGAAGTTGAAGGGAGATGGATGTTTCAAATGCAGTTTGAGTGCTAACAATCCGTTCAGCTACTTTGGTGATATCGATTTCTGAAGTCCAGAAAACTGTCTTGCTAGCAAATTTGAGGGCATAGGTTTCAAAGAGTACAACATCACTAGGCTATAAGCTGGGTGGGTGATTTCAACATACTGACCCAGGGAAACATACATTGAACATTTGTCCTTCAGTAAAAACAGTGCTAAGAACATTAAACCATCAGAAAGTTCTCACTAATGTGTCACATTAAGAGGATATTGAGCTGGAGAACACTGGACCCTGGGACCATAGGAATGCTCCCCATCGGGCACCGGCTTTCCACACAGTGAGAACATACATTAAATCAAAGCTTGACAGATCTGCTGTGCGGAGGAGAAATTTAGTGAAGGGGCACTTAAAAAAAACAACCTTGTAGTTGTAAAGAGGTAGAAAAATCTTCATGTATAATGGCCAAAATACACAGGGCATGGAGGTGGCATGACATGCCTGCTACAGCCCGCAGCAGAGAGCATCTTTTATAATCAGCTGAAGCTGCTTCACTGATTGATCCCAGGAGGTGGAGCTTCTACCACCAGGGTTGTGCACAGGTGTGTTGCATATGCCAGTGATTAGACTGAGATTGGTTACTTTTACCTGCCTGTCTATTGTTACCTCGTATCTGCTCTGATGAAGGTGAAATAGAACAAAAGTTCAAGAATAAACTGAAACACTGCGTAGATGTAAGTGTAAGAAAATCTTTTCTATCAGTTCAGCCCTCAAACAGGTAAAAACTACAGAGAACTGTGTAAAAAAAAAACAAAACGAGTATGATCTGTTTAATAGTGATTAAAATAAATACCACATTGTACCAGAGGCAATGCAAAGCAGCAGAGCAACCTTGTGGGCGTTTTAGATTTCTCATTAAAATAAATTGATCAAATCAACGGATCCTGAGGTTAAAACAATCCAGTTAAAGGGACCTTCACACCGCTGTGTGGTAACTCGCTGCCTCCTGTCATTTTAATGAGGGGAAGCGGTTTCCAACACAGCGGTAGAAACATGAAACGATTTTGTCCACCATATTGAACTTCTGGCAGTTGCCGCCTCCCTCATAGGCCTGCGTGGCCAATCAATTAGCCGGAATCACGGATGCAACTACAAGCTAGCTCGCACTTCTGCTAGTGCTCAACAAAGCAGTTTGTTTGGCAGCTTTTAAAAGGCTTTGCTTTTAAAGTGGAGTGCTCTCGCAGGTAGGTGGCTGTCATGGCGGTCCCCATGCAGTAGTGTGAAAGCAGCTTAATTAATTCAGTGTCAGGTAATATGGCCTCCGCTTCTAAACCCTGGGTAACCAACTGCATTATCACTCAGTATGCACACAGTGAAGCTGGCAGTGTCCACATGCTAGTTTTTCATTTTTTCAGGAACATATTTTAGCTCACAGTATAACTGTAATTTAAGATTGTTTATTAACAGCCAGCCACCATATTGTTTCCTGTGTCAAAACCGACAAACTCGCATGACGTCACCCACCAGCCGGAGTGTTTATTGAATTTTGGTAGTTGTAGGTTTTCTGCCTCTTGAGCCAAATCAAATGCCACATCCCTTTTCTCTGTTTTCTCCGGTCATGTAGCACAAATGTCAAAAGTCTTCACGTCTTCCTTCTTCACAGACAGCCCAGTGAAATACCTTTAAATGCTCTGACCCTCTATACTCTCGTTTTTTTTAACATGTCTTTGTTCTTGTCTTCTTGGTCCTCCTGCCTCCCAGGGTGCCCCTCTGCTCGAATGCCGCTGCTGTCACTGTCACACGTGTACTACCCACCGTCCTTCCTTCCTCCCGTTGCACTCTGTTAGCCCTGGAGTCCAGGTCCTTCTCTTTCCTTTCCTCTATTCAACCTGTAATCACCACACACATCTGCTTACACACCAGTCCCTCCCCTCTTTCTTTGTGTTGTTTTTGTCGTCGTCGTCGGGGTGCTGCAGCGCACTTTGTCTACTAGTTTTGTGGTTCTTATTATATTTCAGCCATTAACGTTCTCCTCATCCCTTTACTTTCCCATCTCTCATCTTCATCCTACATTGTAGAGTTTAAGACGCAGTCAGATCTGTGGTTAAACACATTCAGGAGAAGAGAGGGTTTCTCTTTAAGCTTCTGTGAGGACTGTTGGCTTAATTGTGTCAGTGAGGGTTTGTAAACAGGGTGGTTGAAGTCGTCTCTGTTGGATGGTTTTAAGCTCCCTTTCTCTTTCTTTGTATTTCTGTCTTTTTAAGACATGTTGAACTGAAGATGTCCTCCATATGCAGGGGATTTTAAAAATGCTTACCTTGAGATTTTTTAACTATTTCCAATTCCTACCTAGCTCCAAGTACATCAGTATTAATCAGCATGTGTGTGTTTTGACTGCTTGTATCATGACAGTAGCACTCATGTTCGTATGAGCCACTGGTTGTAGAGCACATGTTGCTTTCTGAACGACTCATCAGTGTATGTTTTAACTCCCAGAGGGTCGTAGCTTTGGTTTTACTGCTGCCGCCTGCAGAGGCTGAGTGTGTTTCCTGTCAGACATCATCCATGTTGTGGATTGAGCCCTGAGTGTCTGTGATTATAACATGATCACTGGACTGTACCTCTAATCCACATGCACGTGTGTGAGCTGAGGACTTATCAGTGTGGCGCAATGGCCTCCACTGCCGCCCGTCTCACGCCCTCCTCTCGTCCCTCCTCCCTCCCTCCCCCCCGGCAGATCGACCCCCTGGAGATGGACGCAGACATGCAGTCCCTGGGCAGCACCACCTGGCTCTTGGACCAGCGGGACTCCCACAGGCGCCCCGTCAGCACCAAGTACGAGACTACCATATTCTGAGGCCGGATCCCCACAGCCGCCCCTCTGCACCCCCTCGTACTTCCCTCTCCCCCCTGCATCCGGTTCTTTATTTAAAACTCTCTCTCTCACACACACACACACACATATACATGCGAGCCCCGTGCCTTCTCACTGTGATGGTATAGCATCCCTCAGGGCTGCCTACTCCTGCACCCTCCTTTGCCCTGCCCAGCGACCCACACCAACCTTTTTACCCACCATGACAAACACTCCTGCGGCTCTCCCGTGCCTCCCCAACACCCCTGGCAGCCTCCCTCGCCTGTTGCTGCTGCAGCCAATGGCGGAGCCCTGGAACGGATGATCCTGGACTGATCTCATTTTACAGTGGCCCTGCTCTCTCAACCAAACTGCCTCTTCCTCCTCATCCTCCTCCTCCTGACAACTTGCATCTGCCTCCAAATCCCCGATAGCTCCCAGAGGTTGCATCTTTATTCTTCTTCTTCTTTCAGGCCATTCTTTAAATTGATTCTCTGCAGGCAAAACGAGCATGTTCATTTTTTATTTTGCTATGTATCTAGACTGCTCATGGGCTGAGTTTGGTTTCCATAAAGGTTAGCTTTGTAATTTTGAGTAAGCTACAAAGTTGTGTGTAATACCAAAAGGGCTGGTGCGCTAAAGGAATGCTTAACTAACAAAATGACCATTTTTATATAAATAACTCACCCGTGTTACCTTGAATCTGTGAAGGAAACTTTGTTTTTCTCACATGCCTCCACAGTGAGCGAAGAATTTAAAAAAAAAAAAAGAAGAAAATTCTTGATTAATTTAACTAAACAGGCGGCATTTAACAGCAGCATCAAAACATCCGTTGACAAACTCTCACACAACTTGTGCAGTATAATCCAAGCCTCATTTGTCCAGTTGTATGCTTCAGCTGCAGACGGTAGATGATTCTAATCAGCAGACTTTAGGTCAAGATTCCTTCAAGCCGAGCAGTCGTTTTTGTCTGGAGACATTTCAGTCCCCAGATTTCACTGCAGAGTGAGTGCTCCTTGCTTTCACGCTGCTTTTCGGTGCAGGCAGCTGCGGACCCAGACTCAGCTGCCCAGAGGAAGAGAGGCTTCGACTAGTCAGGATCTGAGATAACTTTATCTTCTGTCCTCTGATTAAAAGTGGTGAATTTACAGCTCAAAGCAACTTAGTACGCCACAGTCTCTGGCTGTTGTTTGACGCCTGGTGTCGGCACTTTTCCAATCTGTCGTTAGCATAGTTAGCAGGAATTAGCTTGGAGGGCTAACTTGGCTTGTGTACTATATTACACAAATGTGGCTGTCACTCCAAATGTTCATACGGCTGGAAAAATGAGACGTGGGTTATACTGCACGAGTTGTGCGAGTTTTTAAGCTGCTGTTTTGATATAGTTTTGCCGTTTAATTCAATTACCGTTGAGGCATTAGAGGAAAACAAAGTTTGCTTCACAAATTCAACACAACATTGGCTGAGTATTTGATATACAATATCATTCTGTAGGTGGAGTATTACTTCTTACTGTTAAAGGAAAAGTTGAACATTTTGGGACATGTGCTTATCCGTTTTCTTGCCGAGCATTAGATAAGTATATTGATACCACTTTCACATTTGTACAGTGACTACGAAGCTACAGCCAGCAGTTGGCTAACTTAGCTTAGCTTAAAGACTGGACATAGGGATAAACAGCTAACTTGGCTCTGTCCAAACGTAAAAAAGAGTCAGCTACTAAATCTAGATAGAGAAATAGTCTGGCGCCTTCAGAAAATGTCGATTTTTCTTTTTCAGGTTTTAGTATGGATTAAACAAATTAGAAATAACATGTTAATTAATGAGTTTAAGAGGTGCAGATTTGTTTCCAGTCTGTGCTAACTCATGTTAGCCGGTTGCTGGCGTTAGCTTCATGTTTATCATACAGCTCTGTATGTGGCCTCAGTGTTATCAAACTCTTCACAAGAAAGCACATTAGCGTTTTCCCCACTTTTCCTTTAACTTGCCCTTTTGATATTGCACAAGTCAAAGATTTAGATTTCAGATCTGTAACAGAAGCATGATTTGATTTTTAGTTTTTTTCAACATCACTTTTTAATTTTTGACTCACTGAATTATTTGATTGTTTTGCCTCGGGACAGTTATAATTTTTTTTCTTTCTCCATCTTTAGCCTGTCCTGTCTTACCAGGCATCTACCACTGTGAGGCACTATGAGGAGGCTGCTTTGCTAGCATGGGATGCAAGATGGACAATTAAATCAATGAAAGACAAAAACAGCAACATGCAGCAAACAACCTGTTTTGTTTTGTTTTTCTACGCATTTGTACAATACTCATAACAACACGATGGATTGGTCATGAATCCATCACTGATGTCTGAACTCTGTATGGACCAAGAACTGAACCCTCGTACACACATACACACATACAGACACACACAGGAGGACACTTTCCTACACTTTACCGAGGACAACAGCCTTACGTCATTTCGGTTATCTATAATCAACTAAAGCCCCCCACCTTTCCCGGCCTCCCTGAATACCACCACCACCACCACCACCACCACCACCACCACCCGACAACTGCACGCCTCCCCCTGCTTCAAAAAGACTTTAAAAAAAAGAGACAACACTTCTGATTTCCTGGTGTGTTCAATTGACTGTGACTGGCTGGGATGTTCTTATGATGGTACAGTTTTGTCCAGATGAGAGTATTTGCTCTGGCCTTTGTACTGCCCTGTCCGCAGTCTCTCAGCATTCATGGTAGCACCGAGAGGCTGCACATCACAGCATCTTCTTCTTGTCAGTTTAAAAAAAAAATATAACACTGTGTTAAAACGTGGCACTATCCCTTTTAATACCTTCTTTTCTTTTCTTACGGTACAAATAGGACATTAGTGCATTTGTGATACTTTTTGATAGACGGGGGCTGAGTGAAATATTTTGGGAAAGAGTGATTTAAGACACTGATTCAACCAGATGCAAAAAAAAAAAAAAAAAAAAAAAGAATACTACCAAAAAAAAAAAAAAGCATATTGAGTGTGCTGACATTGGATCTACATTTCACAATTTTGGTAATCTAAACATCCTCGACACGATTTCATTTGCCTCGTATATTAATGAGCCTGGAGCACAATTTGGCGCACACTTCCCAACATAGCATCCTATTATCATGATTACATGGGTAGGTATCCATGCTGTTTCACACCGATTTAGAATTAGGTACAGTACATGCAAAGTATGTCACTTGAAAAATAAACAGCAGTGAAAAGATTTAATTCCACCACATTAAAAGAGCCAAATCTAAGTGTTGCTCTGGTGTTGTGTTAATGCGAATGGATTTGTTATGCTGAGAACATGACACAGTTTTTTTTTTTTTTTTGTTAAAGAATTTCCCTCCTGCACTGTGACTCAAAAATGCTCGTCGTGGAGTCGACACATATCTGTGGGTCCCCCCTCCTCCCCTCCCTCCCGTCTTGTGTGCACTACCTACTGTGCGTGCTGTATGCCTTGTTTCTGTCTGTCCTCATGGGAGTTTGGACTGCTGCTGTTACATCACTGTCCACTGTCCTTGTTTCTGTGTGCTGCGGGAGACGTGAGGTATTGAGCTCCGGAAGACAGTGTGTCTGGAGACTGACTGTTAAGATGTAACTGGTTTGTGTGCGGTACCGTGGCTGTGTCATTGCCACTCTGTTCTGACTGTTAACTGTTAGCTTCCACTGACGATGCATGATGGCAGTGTTTATTTTGTGTTCTTGTACCCTTTGATGCACTTGGCCTGAGCAGTCTCTGTATGTACTGTAGCAGTGTCTCGTCTCCGCTCACTCATCTGCTTCTTGCGTTTCCCCCTCTTCTCTCTTTGTTACACGCCAATACAGCGATTTTCATCCTCATCCCTCCACGTTTCCATCGTCGTCATTCCTCCCAACACTTTGTCACGTATGTTCTTCCATTTTGTGTGTCACCAAGACAACCTGCTCTAGTATGGATGCATAATATAAAAGCATTACACTTTAATGAGCAGCAGCTATTTAAAGCAAGTTTTGGTGGCATGATCTTTTGGCTGTGCATGTATCAGTCTATTTTAACATTGGTGTTTTCCTTGTGTAGCTCACCCCAGCGTTCAAGTTTCCGGATACCAAGCTGTGAGTTGAAGGGGAGCAGCGGATGCGAGTGTGTGTGTTGAGTTTAGTGGGCAGAGCAGTGGAAAAGAGGTAGAGAGAGAAAGAAAGAGACAGAGAAAATGAGAGGTAAGCCTTATGCAACGTGCAGGGCCAACCGGCGCTACTCTAACATTCAGATCTCACTCTGTATATCCCCTGCTCCTCCACTGCCCCTGATATGAACCCCAACACACGGACAAGAGGTAACCTGTTGTCCCACATCACTGGCTAAACAGGACCTGTGTATCACTCCTGTAACGAGACAGAGAGGTCAGTCAGAAAGGGTCAAGTCTATTTCCTGGCCTCCATGTGACTTTCTGATCTTGTCATGTAGGTACTGTAATGTTTAGAGCACTGTAGACCATTAATGATAGAGACCATTTACGAGCATTTCTATTGATTCAGGTCTAATGGAGATAGTAACTGTGGGAGTTTTTGAGGGTGAACAGATATGTAACAAAATGTAGAGAAAAAAAAAACTGTACCAGCATACAATGCTTTGCCCATGTTTGTGGACAGAGTATGGTTTGTCAATGAAAATGTGATACTGTTTCAAATTTCAAAGCAATATTATATTAATGAAAAATTAAATAATACAATGACAAAAGAATCCCTCTCACGTCTGTTGTCAGCATTGATTTTTGTTTTATGGTTAAAACGTAAAACACAAAAGTTACACCAGCTGTTCAAAATTTAAAGTGACAAAACACAACAACACGATAATTATTGTACAATTATACCATCAGTGTTTCCCCTGCTGCAGAGATTAGTGGGTGGTGCAACTTCTAATCTCAACAAACGATTAGCCCCAGTTTGTGCACACCGTGTTTTTTTATTACATTCAAGTCACAGAGCCAAGCATCTGATTTTCTCAAGTGCCTGATGTTCTTTAAAAAACACAGGTCGTTACTGCTGCAATAATTCTTCTAACCATTATGATAAAAAATATGGTTTCTTACATGATTAAAAAAAAAAAAAAAAAAAAAGATTTTCCACCCATTTCCCAAAATACACCTTAATGAAACCAAACAAAATTGGTAGAAGAGAATGACAGGATTCCTTGCTTGATTTGTACGACACAAACAAATATCAGTTATTTGTTTCTCATGATGATACTTTCCATTGTATTATATTTTTATATACAGTAACACGGTGGTATTTTCTTGTGCTGTACCTTATGTGCAAAGAGATAAGATATTTATGGCTGCCTGGATTAGTAAATCAAGTTGCTGTTTGGGAAACTGGTTAAATCTGTTTTATGGTGCAGTAGACTAAATTTTTTTTATTCACATGGTTAACGAGTTTGAATTTCTGGAAATACCTTCAAAACAGAAGGACTTGTTGTTTAAAGACCTTGTGAGTTTTTAAAAGACTGCAAAGAGTTTAATCTTTCAGAAAATGCTCCTCTCTGTGAATTTCGTTATGAGAGAAGTTATGCCCCCCCCCCAAAAAAAATACCAAGAACGCTGTTGCCTAGCTAGCTAGCAGAAACCAGGTCTTAATTAAGTTTCAAGGACATTTTCACCCCACAAAGTACCTGCACGAGGGTAGTCCTTTCTGAAAATATAAGAACTTTCAGGGTGAGGTTTGCAGAGATGACCATTGCTGACTGGTCATAAGACAAGGAAGTAATCTAGTGCTGTTTTAGGACCATTTAAAATGTGGAGAACTTTTTTTTGTTCAGCAACAATAAAAGTAAAGTTAGACTTTGCTGTTGGCCTACCGACTAATTTTTGAAAAGACATTAAGAAAAAGAGATCATGTGACTGAGCTGATAGATTTTACATGATTTAACAGACACTGCTATTTTGACTTTGCTCTTCTGCATTTCATTTATTACATCAAATTTACTGCAGCAAATACAGGTAACAGAGTGTGTTAACCCCAGTGACCACCAGTAGCTCTCGTCCCATGTCATACAGCTTTTTTATACGTCAGTTATTTCCTCAGATCTTTAGACCCCTATGGAAACACAAACAACAATGGGCTGAAGAAACATTAGAGTTGCTGGATAAGTAGTTCAGGGACAAATATAGCTAGGAAGTTTTTGGTGGGAACACAGCTTTTTGAGTTTCACTTTAATTAATTTGTCTGTGCAATTTAACATTAATAACTTCACAAATAATGGGCATAACTTTGCTGAACATATCACTTCCCTGAACCCAACTCGCTGGTAGTTTCCCCCCTTTTTGATTGAAATCCGAATTATGTTATGTCTCTCAGCAAGTTCTATGTCAGTCGCCTTTCCCCCGCTCACTGCTGTCCTTTTGAAATAAGCAGATTAAGCTTGAGCTGAATGCAAACAAATTTTTCAGTGGATACTTGAAAAGTTACAAAAAAATTCACGCGCCTAGGCCTATATCGTCAAATCCTCTCCATTTCATTCTGGCATCTCACACATACACCGGTCAAAGAAATTCAGAATTCCAGATTAATTTGGACAATCACATCCCTGATTTTGGCTCACATCCCAGATACTATTGATGTATTTATTTTTGTACAAAATGAAAATATGCTAGCTCAGTCTTGAAACTTGCTTCAGTACCTAAATAAAAAACAAAACAAAACAAAACAAAACAAAACCCCTCACAAACTGCAGGTTTTCCAGAGAGTTTTCTGTCCTGCTTAGTTTAGGCTTGTAGTGTATTTGCTTTTGTGTTTATCTTGCCTGTTATAAATGTATCCACTTATCATTTTCCCAGAATATTGTTTAAAATTCAGCTAGGTGAACGGTGATTCCATAAAGAAATTTGATATCTGTATTTCCGTTCATTTAGTGGAATGAATCATGGCGGCGATATTGATTTACAAATAAGCGCCTGTTTGGTTTGGTACACCACCTCCCACTAATGCCAACAACTGCAGGGGAAACATTGAGTATAGTTGCCGTTTGTAATCAAAGGTGCAAAAAAAAAAAAAAAAAAAGTAGAAGTGCGTACTGTCTTTGGTAAGTTATATATATAAACATCTGAGTTATACATCAACATAAAGATGAGAACTGAAACCAGCTACATATTAAAACTTAAGTGTTATTTACAAACTATTTACATAATCTTTGGTACTTGATGTTTTTCCTGAGGGTGTTTATCTTGAGATGAAGTCAGCCAACAAATCTGTTTTTCAGGCATCTGATCTTTTCAAAAACATTTCAGAATCACAGTTATTTTCTTGTTATTACTCTTT